GCACTCCCTTTATTACATACACAATGTTTTTACAAACAAGGAATACATTTGTTAACTTATTTCGTTGCTTTTCTTCTTTCTTTTCTTGCTTTAGTGTTTTATTTTAGTGTTTTCTTTTGAAAACAGAAAATTTTAACATGTATTTTATATGTATATGTATAAAGTGATACACATTTCAACAATTCTCATATCAAAATTCAAATTGAGAATTGTTGAGCATGGATTGTCACCTTTTTTGCATAGTATAAAACACAGATGTTTACACGCTTAGATCTTTGGTTTGATCTAGATTTCGCAATGAATTTTAATGCAGTTTTCAGCAATAGATAGATTGAAGCGGAAGGTTTATATGTAGTATATATTATAGCAGAGAAAAGCCGAGAAATTCAATATTTACAATGCACCCATGCGAAGCCGGGGTGGGTCGCTTTTAATAAAATAAAAGTTGCTCCAACGTTTCCTTGATTAAATCACATGGAGAATGGAGAAAAGACGGTGAAGTTGATTAATTGATTTTTCTATAAAAATAAAATAACTTTGAAGATTCGATTCACAAAAATACGTGAATCAATGGAGACCAATTAATTGGGTTTTTCGAATTCAGGCTTCATTTAGTAATTGTCGCAAGTATTAGCGCAGGAGGATAATAATACTAGATATACTGGCGGCAATTGAATATACACTATTCATTTAAAATATAATTGGCTTTGATTAATCTTATTAACGGAACACTACATACGCCTAATGATTTGCTTAGGCGAGGAAATCGAGAATATCATTAGCCCAAGAGCGGCTTATGTCTAAGGACCCAGTCATTAACTACGTAATGATAAATGACATTTGAAGGCAGGGGTACTTTATCACATTCATTTTTACAGCCGACACCATAATTCAGTTGGCATCTGTTGCATGCTCTTTGTATAACGATTTCTCCGAACTGTTTATGGCCCATATTATATGATCAGCTGTGGTTATATTTTTAAGGCCGCTGTAAAACTGTTTTATTGGTTGAATCGATTGTGCTATTTATTATTATAATCACATACTTTTGTATATCATCCAGTTAGACGTCACCCACCTTCTTCCCGCATTGACGTAGAAAAATGAAAATGACGCAATTTAATTTCATCTAGGAAACGGGACGCAAAAATAACGGATAAATATATAGACAATGGTCATAAAAACGTCGCTTTGTTTTTACATTTTTCATATTGGTCATTCAGGACGCAGGGTCAACAAAAATGCCGACCAAGGCACTACGTGCTCTTGAGGTTTGTGCGTGACTAGAATTACTCCAGTCGGAATGGTTTAGAGACTCGCTGATTCACTTATAAATTTCATTCAATTAGTGAACTCTGTCGATTAATTAAAGCGAATGCAGTGTTCGAAACTGAAAGAACATTTTCTTCTACTGAATAAGTTTAAGGTTTCTTATGTAACCACGAGAAATAATAGGGCTGTAAACTTCATGCCTTCTTAGTATAGTAATTTTATATTCCTCTTTATTATTGTGCTAGGTTCACGCAACAGAAGGGTGAACCTGCCCTTCTGCATAATAACATCCAGAGAAGAGTAACGGCCTCACAGCAACAGAAGGCCGACTTAAACTGCAAGTATTATACTTTCGCGTTTCGTCTGTTGAATGGAGTAACTGCAGCCCAATTTTTGGCAAAGGCAAATCCTTTTTAAAATAAGAAGAAAATAAAATCGGGTGAACCGCTCTGTTGCTTCCAAACGCTTCACTTAAAATAAAGTTATTGTTAATGTGTGCATTTATGTACTTTATTTAATATGCACGTAAGAAATTATACATGTTGTGTATAGCATGCACGTAAGAAGTTATATTTCTTACATGCATACTAAAGAAAAAAAAACTAAAAATTTTATCTGCTGCGCCAGTACTCTTTGTTTGTGAAAAAGACATTAAATGCATAAAGGTTTAATTAAATGACTTAAAATTATAGATAAATTTCAAAATGTTGTTATTGGTACCGTACCGTGGAGTTGGTCAAAGTCGGTCGCTTTGCATACAACTTCATCATCTCGCTTTAAGGCTATTTAATTTTAGTCTCATGTTTTTTTCCAAACGCTACAAAAGAAGCATAACTTGAAAAAACATTTGGAAAGGTACAACAAAACATTCAAACTTTATATTAAGTTTGTATAGTGCTAGTCTTTGCATTTCAAATCTGACAGTGCTAAAAACATATCGCTGATCATACAAACAATAATATTCTGAAAAATCGGGAACCGTTACTTTTTATTTTGTTCTACATTCGAGTGTATGTCATACTTCTTTAATACATTCGAGTATATGTTATATTTTGATGACGATGTGCATGCAATAAAAAAATTCATTTCTTCGAACTTCTTAACAAAGCTCTCTGTCCCATTTAAGTTACGGTGACAAACTGTCTTATTACGTAGATTATAGTGGGAAAGTAGGTGGAACTACGAGTAGGCAGTTTCTCTTTGCGTCATAACATCGTTGTATATAACATCCTTTGTTAGGTGGATATTAAAGCTTGCTTAGTCATAAAGCGTTTCAATTTTAAGTTGTCCTTTTGTGGCAGCGAAGTGGGTGACTAAAATGTGAATCATGCATAAGTTGAATTCAATAAGGAAGTGAGTAATTAATAGTTGAACAGATGTAGGTAGGATCCTTAACGTGATAGAATTCAGTGACGCTAAAGCTCCACCTTTAAAAGAATCTGTTGTCTGTTAAGTCTTGAAATCTGTTGTATGTAATGTAACCTGTTCGGAAATTGATCAATACGTTTAATAAGACGCAAACTGAATGCGATAGAATCCGTAAAAGGTTCTAAGCCATTTAATTACGACTATATTCGTAAAATGTGAGTGGGATTGTAACAACGAAAGGCTTGCAAATATCGCGAGATTAGCAATAAAACTGAGATAGCGACTAAATTTACATTCGTAATCTGCGTTCTAGTTCGCCGCGGAAACAATTAAAGGCTTACGGGGGTACGAGACTTAATTTAAGCAAATACTGCCTGTAGACGCAGACGAGCAAATTTTCTAAATCTTACATTGAATTTGGAAACGAAAGTGTCTGTAATATCAATTGAAAATGGCAAGTCTCTGTAATAGCAATGAAAATTACTATCGCTAATGATAGTGAAAAGAAAACAACTTCAACTCTTAGAATGGAATAACGAACGTAACTTTAATATTAATTCATGGCAGAAACCATTTGTAAAGCTGGACTTTATTGCGATGATTAAATGTATTGATAAACATACTTCATTTACTAAGCTACTTACACGATAAAGGAAGTGTAACTTATACAATTAACAAATATACAACATTTTGTTAAGAAAAAGTTTTAAGAACTCTGGTTAGTGATTGTGATGACATGTAACACAAGACACACGGATTTCGTTTTTCGAAAACAAAAGAATAATTAAGTTAAATAGTTCAATGACGAGATAGTGTTTCTGTTTATAACACCATGACAATGATCTTGTTTGGGATTCAAAAGTCCTATAAAAAGTAGAGCACTTATTTCAAAAAAGTTCAGTGTTCAACGGAATTTGCTGCCTTTGGTACATTTGATAACTCCTAGATTTTCCTGTTTTCATTTTCTTTTGTCCCCAGTTTTGTAATTAGACAAAATGTAAACACGACAAGCACGGCTCAGTCACGTAATTCGTTTTAAAAGTTTTCCAAGGGAGAAAACAAAGGGGAGAACTTTGCTAGTTAGTACTCCCATTACAGGTTCCAGTTTGATTGAGGTGAACGCGTGCTGAATACGTTTACACTTTAAATGGAATTCCTAAATTTATCATTTATATCAATTGAAATAGAATAAGTGAGTCGTTGGTGTTTTCTGTTATTGCATATTTTTTTATTTTACGAACATTGCTCTTACCGTAGGAGAATTCTCCTGTGTTATATATATTATAAGGACGTTGTATATACATAAATTTCACGTGGATTCAAACTCCCAGACCCGAAACAATTATTTGTGGGTCACAAAAATAGTATACTCCGTGGGGAAATTGAACCTAAGACCCTCGGCGCCGAAGCCAATACAGACAGCCAATATTGACAGCTGCGCCACGGAGTCAGCAATTACTATAAATGTACGAAGTTCTGTATATTTTTCTTCGTTTTTAAAAGCAACATTATTCATTAGGAAAGACGCTGTAATGCATTACATATGAAATAGCAATTGCAATTTCTTAATAAAGATTCTTTTAAACTTTATGTACCCAATACGGACATCAATCATCTGTAATTAGAAACAAGGCAATACGAAATAAATGTAATCCACAACAGACTCGAAAGATATCTGTTTACATCAATTGGGAGCGCATCTGCTTTGAATTATTATCTGCTTTTAATGATTATCTCGAGAGCAATATATGAGGCTTCTTTATTTATTGGTCTGCGTCGAGCTTGGAATTCTTGCTAATTAATAAACTGAACAATGCAGATGCTAATGGACTAATTCAACTACGACTTCAGCTACAGTAAACTCACTTTGCGATGCTCACTTAAACATTCATAAAGCTCTTACTTAATAAGGTAAATATTTTTACAAGACGAAAGTTTAGATCATGAGAAATTCACTTAGGATAAATAATATTTTTCAATAATTCGAATACCTATGTTTTTAATGTGAGAGGGTGGTAAGCGAGCAGGCGGTTCAACCGAAGCTAAATGATAAGCGCCACCCGTGGACATTTACAACACCCGTTGGGTTGCGGATGCGTCTTTTAATAAAATGGGCTTCGGTTACTGTTCCTCACTCACCAGACGAAATACAGAAGTATAATACTTCCACTTTACGCCGGTCTTCTTTGAAGTCATAGTACTTCTCCGGACGGACCTGCCCATTCGTGCAACAACGAAGAGCTGTTGCGTTATCACGCTTTAGATTTAATCTTAACAGCAGAGTGGTTGAAATTTCCAAAAACTATCTCAAGTTTTCAAAATGCCGGAATTTCGTCATCGGGTAACAAGAACACCCTTACCTTAATCATCGCCTTAAGTAATGCGTATCTCGTGAAGACGTTTCTTTCAGCCTTGGACTCGTTGTAACGGGCCATCAGAGTCACCAGCGCCTTCTTAGCCGTGTCATAATTCTCATCCAAGCGTATCCGTACAGCGCGTAGACGCTCGTTCGTCTCAATTACCTCCTCTTTCGTCTGCCCGCCTGGTAACAAAACGAACGCGTTAGCTCAGTGTCAGAGCAGAATTAAAATAAATTCAATAAAAAAAATTATATTCGAGCAGTTGGTATTGTAATTTCAAGTGAAGGAATGAGTCAAATGACTTTCATGCTGCTCGCTTTTAAAATTTTCAATATATAGTACTCGAGCAACCCGAGTTCAATCACCGGTGCCGACATCAATGAAATTGTTAGTTTTAAGTGCGGATTTATCATGTGCTCAGCGGTTAAGGAAAATATATATAAAAATATATAATATTATTATATTAAAAAAATAGATGTACTTTTGGAGCGAGTAAACTCTTGGTATCGTAATTTACAAACAACAATTCTTGATTAAATCGAATGCATTGAACTTGCAGTATACTGTTATATGTAGTCAACATAAATATGTAATGAATTATTCATATCAATTCAATTCGACGATGCGGACCACACATGCTGATAATAAAAATAAGACACGCCAGTTAAAAAAACACATTGCATATCATTTTTAGCAATGAGGGCGTTTATTTCATAATCACTACACATCCGTACATTCCCATTACGCAAACAAAAATCGTTGGTACTCCAATTTAGTTCATTATTTTAGTGGATGTTGCGTATACAAAAATTTTGAAAATATTGTTTTTATGTGAACATTGATGTATGTATGTATGAACTATGTAATTTTTTCAGTCTCTTTTATGTCAAAAGTTGCTAAGCGAGCAGGTGTTTCACCTGATGTTAAGTGAATATCGCCGCCCATGGACATCAGCTACACCCTAGGGTTGCAGATGCGTTGACAACCTTTTGAAAATTGAGCTCCGGCTAGATCACTGACCAGACGAAATGTAAAAGTATGCTTCCATTTGACGCCGGTGAGGTCGTGGTACTTTTCTGGACGAGCCAGCCCGTTCGTGCAACAGCCGAGGCTGCTGCGTGGTCCTACCACGGTTTATACAAAGACCCATAACTTTAAACTCAATAAAGTCTTTCTTGTAATTTTTCAAAACAAATTTGATACGTCTCGTTTACAGAAATAATTATTAAGAGATTAAAATGAAAACTTGCGCTCGGCAGAAATACACAAACACACAAGAAGATTTAGTGATTTTTTCCTACACAATTCCGCTTTAGATCAACCTTAAATTGAATAGACTGCGAGTTTATTTTTTAACTATCTCACATCGTTAAAAGAACATTCCTTGTGCTGGCTTAATATACCTATAACGATTTAAAAATGTGGTTTTAGATCAAAATGGTGTGGTGTAAGGCGCTGTTGCTAAAGTGACACTTACTTGAGGTGCCTTCGTCTTTGACGTCTTGAACAATGCGCCGCACGCTCTGCGTGAATTTGCCGACCAAATTGGTGCTTGCTGGAACCAAAGAAAAATATTGATTGTAATTTCGAATATAAGAGAAACATAAACCCCTGACTGTACATGTAAACAGTGAATTCTCGGGTCTAGATGAAGCCATACCCACACATAGTACTAACACACAAAACCAATTAGTTCGCCCTCGCCTACGAGAGGCGAAACCAACACAAAGCGTACCAGAGATAGAGCTAGAACGCGGGTGTCCTAGGGCGGTTTACAGCCACCGAATAATACAGTCGGCCATCGGTGTCACGGTCCGTACCGAACCTAAATGGCCAGTAGGTGACATTCTCCCGTTTGAGATAACGCCCGCGTGAGCACATGCACGGTGCGGTGCGGAGAGCCGTATAAAGCTCGTCGGTTCATACTAGTCCACATGTTCCGTATTCGATGAAGCTTTTAAAGGCAGACTGAAAACAAAAATAATCAGTTAAAGTTTTAGTAGTAAATTCTATCAACTTTTTCATACCTTATCAACAATTTATTATTGTTAAATTGGTGTTAGAAATATACATAATTATATACTAGCTTTCCAGTCGTATCTGGTTTTCATGTTCTCACTCGTACACGCGACTTAAATCCGACAACAACTTATAAATACAAAAAAAAACCACGGATTGTGAATCTAAACCATTTTCGAATCGACCTGAAGACACATAAAAAATTTCATTAAAATCGGTCCAACCGTTTAGGAGCAGTTCAGTGACATTCACACGTACAGAAGAATTATATATAAAAAAATAATTACCTAAGACGCCCTGAGATTCCAGATTCCATCTGTTTACTTGGTGTAATTAATGTCAAAGCCACATTAAAGAAGCAATCGGCTTCGAATAGAATTTAGCGAAATAGAATGCATATATATCGTTGAATGCGCTAACGAAGTTAGAACGCCGCATTCCAGCCTTGCAACACGCTTATGCACTCTAACGGACAACTTGAGCCGGCGGTGGAGTCTGGAAATGGAGAGGAATGCGGCATAAGAGAGCAGCGAACGCTGTGGCGTCGGCATTTCACCACTCGATTGATTCTGCGGTCCTGGTAATCGATAAGCTAGGAGTTGAGAAAGACTTCGGATCGTGCTTCTTCGTATTTTAGCGATGTAAGATATGATTTTACAAAAGAGTTTTGCTATTAAGAATTAAATAAGCAATTAATTTCAAACAATTTCATTGTATATAATCCTTTGGATAACCTACAAAACTGTATTTTGTGATGGTATGTATCGATTTAATGTAAATCTAAATTTTTGATGTTACTTTAAAAGTAATATGGTTAAAATTATGTAAATTATGACTGTAAAATAATAAAAAAACGGAGCAGTCTTTGGGGACTGCCAATAGAAACTAAGTAAGTTTACTATAATTAATATATTTATTTATTAAATATATACTTATTATGTAAAATAATTGTCAATAATTATTTTAAGGTTCAAAATACATATTTAATAAATATAATGCAAATAATTAAAATAAATAAAAAGTGTTCGGTGACGATAGACGTAAACGGATCTTGATGCGGTTTTTTTTTACTAGATAGAACGATTCAAGAGCAAGGTTTATATATATAATACATTGCACCCGTGCGAAGCCGGGGCGGGTCGCTAGTAAATATATTTAATAGCAAAGCTTGCAGAGCTTAATTCTATACGTTATTTTCTATGTTAGTTGCATATGGAACTTGGAATCAATGTAGATCCCAACGAATAACGTTGATTTTTGATTAAAATTTTTGTTAATTTTTTATACATAGTAATGTGTTAAACAGTGTAAAATCTAATAAAAGCATTTTGTTTTAGTTGAGTAAAATTATTTACTGTAAATTCCAGCTTACCAATACCTAGTAGTTCAAGATCCCAGGGCCGCCAGACGTCACGTATTTTCTGTTGAACTAAATTAGTATGACTGAGCAGGAAATTGGCCCACTGACCCAATACTTTACAGTGTCTGTACACCAATACAGCCGACGGAAAGTGTCTTGGAGTATTGACGAGTTATTTTTAACGATATAGTCTAAAATATACTTAAAAATCAGCTTGGAGAATTTACGTCGGGATAGTAATGTTTTTATGTACCTTGATTACCTGATACCTGGAAATTGGCACATTGACCAAGCTTGCAGGTAGGCATGCGATCGTAGTACATACTAACATACATACTCGACTAGACAGACTGAGTCTGCCCCGTGACCATGAAGGCTGGAAAGGGTTCGAAACGTTGGGAAATTCAAAATGAAAAACGCGATAAAATCCGAAAACTAGTTTCATTTAATATGTATAATATTCGCGTAAAATCAAGAAGTTAATAGTTGTATTATTAAAATTTATACGCATAATCGATCAATTTAATTAATATTTTTCCCCTTTATCTTGAGAATTTGCCAGGATTAACGCATGGATTAATTATGTAGGTAACCTATTTGTAGTATTTGTAAGTGGCTATTTACTTGTTATAAACATAACACTATTATACAGGAAATATAATATTTCAAAAATGTGTTTTCATTTTTCAAGTCACGGGTACTTGTATTATTTTCACCTGATATGTATTATCAACAGCCTTCTATTTCAAACCAATTTTGTAAAATCAAAATAAATCACCATAAAATGGGCGTTTGGTAAGATTTTATTTAATAATGAACCGAGTTGGGTGAAAAATAAAAACCATTTCCCAAAAAGGAACGGAAATTTCTGTGGAAATAGAATATATTCAAACTATGTTAAGATGTAATGTTTGCTTTGAAAGCTATTCGATGTGCACGAAGGTAGCCAGCAAACATGCTTACACAAACGCTGTTGCTTACACAAGTGCAGCTGTATGCTCAAGGAAGTCGGGGAAATGGGTTGGCAGCAAATACCGTGTTGACTTGAAAGTGTGCATTGTAACAAAATGCAATTCCTTTGGTGTTTACCACACATATCTTGGTATATAATTAAATTTGGTCGCCGACTAATAATATGCCGACTATAAATGCGAAAATTTGTGTGACTATACCGACACACGAACTTTCGCATTTGAAATATGAATTAAATTTATAAGGGCGAACACACATACGCTGGAGTAACATAAAGCATACTTTTAAATAAAAATTAACTAGTTTATGTCAAAAAGATCCTCATGGGTGTAGCGGCGGGTAAATTGCCGCTTAACATTAGAACAAAACTAAGATTACTTTCCCGAAGTTTAAATGACCGAAACGTTTTGGACATGGGAAATGGAGGTAGAAATGTAAATATTTGCTGCTTACTTTCCAATTTGCAATAATTCGAGTAGGCCGTTAAGGGTTGTTAGCTGATGCAAACAACATTGGAAACATTGTTTGCATACAAATTAGACGGTCATCGTTTCGGTTATGCATGTTTATCCTCATCTAATACATGTACAGCATATTATATGATTAAAACCCATCGAAGTTCTAAGACTTTTAACTAGACAGTAAAAACAGCAAAGACTGTTTTTTACTGTCTAGTGACGGGACCTATAAAACCTTTAGCGTGTAACTTTTTTGCGATGCTCGTTTCAGAACTTAATCTGATACATCAACTCGTATGTATGCCTATTTCCTATTTTATAAATAATGGAATTTTTCGTTTTTTCTTACGATTTAAATAGAACTTTAATGGCCGGATAGAGATCTTATAAACGAGTACTTATGTTAATGTTTCTTAACAATGTTCTAAATTTGGTTGATGTTAATCTCAAATCTCTAAATTTCCGAGTTGGGGTAATCTCTTCGTAATCAATTTTGATTACGGGGAGATCAACCCCCACTCGGCTGGAAGGTATTGATTTTTTTGAAATTATTATAATTTCAATGGGTTTATATTATGTTTTATTTATGAACTTTACACGAACGATGGCAAGGGACATATCATAATATATAATTATATTATAAATAATACTAATATTACATACTAATATTATAAATAGTTCATAAACAGAACAACCAAAAAAACAGTGCTTTTTATAAAATTATGTGAAAAAAAAACTTAAAACATTATTATTTTTGGTAAAAAAACATCATTAAACTAACATTTCATCAATTTATTTTAAAATAGCTTTATTATTGCTAAATATATTTGAACAAAAATAAAAATCTTGTCAATTTCATCTCCTTCCGTGGACTGTTTCCAGTCTATGCTGATAAGTTTGATATTATATTAAAAAATACTCTAAACGAAAAGTATCAATTTTTCATCATTAGTTTGGTTAATAATATCCTATAGTTATTAAAAAATTATATTGTGAAAAGTAATCATCCTCAATTATAAGAATTATTATACATACACATGTTGTTATCAGTGCTTGCGACTCCTTCCGTGGTACAACTTAAATATACATTTGATACAGTATTTAACAAAAGGCAACATGACATATTTATTTCTGTTAGCAGCACTGTTTAGCTGTTATTTGAAACTTATCGTTGAAAGTCGTGAATTTGCTCTGTGCGAAAATAAAATAAACTTTAGTTTAATTAAGTTATTTTTAATTATTTATGGCAAAGATCGTTTCAACTTTTCTGTTACGTTAATATTTTGGTAAGTATTACTTGCTGTAATTTTCCTATTGAGATATTGGCGGCCATTGGTAAAAACTCTAAAAGTCGTTTAGCAAACACAAAATTTTGTGTTTTGTATAGCATTTTATAACTTGTTTTCCCTTCCGTGGACAAACTTCTCAGTGGACAGTGTCCACCGAAGGGTTTTTTAAAGTACGTGTACGTGTTGCTTCGAGCCGTCTGAATGCTATTTTTTATTTTGTGCGTTGCTTTTTTATTATATTTAATGGTTGGATTAGTATGAGATTTTTCTTTTTGAGATTTCAGGTAAAAATTCTACGAACCTACAAATCAAAACTCAAGCTAAGTGATGAAGAAAAAAGAACAGACGACGTGAACAAAAAATTAGTATGCGCCGAGCACGTATAAAACTGGACGCAACTGATAAGGCAGAAATACATAAGATAGATAGAGAAAGATACTATAGCAAGAGGTAATATTAAAACGATTGGCCAATATATTCCTAGAAAACAGCGCCAAATAAGAATAATGTGGCGAGTAAAACCTCGAAAACGCCGTGAGGTATTAAAGAAGTGAGAAGCCACCGCTACGCTTCTTGAAGATAATATACTCCGCCGATGAGTCTTTTTTCATCATCTTATACCTGTCCTTTATAGAATCAGAGAAATAAGTCCCAACTTACCCGAATTACATTTACTGAGTGATGGCCCAAGCATCTAATTCAGAAATTAGTCTATGTTTTACTTGATTTTAAATTATAAATGTACTATTACTTTGGGCAGGAACTAGTGGTCACGTTTTAGAAATGATTCATTTGAGATCTATATTGTCCTGTGTCGTTGCAACCTAATTACATTCCTTCTTTTATATATAGTCCAAGATCTCAGGGCCGCCGGACGTCACGTATTTTCTGAGGAAAGAAATGTGTATGATTGTGCAGGAAATTGGCCCACCGACTCAATACTTTAGTATCTGTACGCGAAATATGTATGATAGAGCGGTGTTAGTACGTACTACGATCGCATGCCTACCTACAAAATTGGTTAGTGAGCCAATGTCCAGGTATCTTTAGGTAACATTACTTATTTCACGTCAATTCTCCAAGCTGATTTTTAAGTACATTTTACACCATTGTTAAAAAAAGGTCGTCAATACTCCCAGATACTTTCTGTCGGTCATATTGGTTTGCAGACGCTATTAAGGTTAATGGAAATGGGAAATTGGCTCACTGACTAGCAGGTAGGCATGCGAACGTAGTACATACTAACACTACGCAATCATATACATTTCGTTCGTCAGAAAATACGTGACGTCTGGTGGCCCTGGGGTCTTCTTATCGACGTTGTAATAGTGACAGTTGAAGCTCCCAATGTTACTTAGAAGTTTTCTTACGTCATTGGTGGCTAGTTTCTTCGCCTTATTTGCTAAACGAAATATGTTTTAATTCGCCGTTAATTACTAAAATATGTCGTCATTACAATGACTCGTGAAAAT